TTCCTTCTGGGGTTCCTCCTCCTCTTCTGCTGAGGACTACTCTGATGACAGCATATTCATTCAGCTAAGTATTTTCTGTTTGTACTGGTAGTGTTTCATTAAACCTGTTGTACTTCCACCTACAGGTCTTCTCTCCTTTTTCCTGATTCCCCTCCCTGACTGGTGAGGGTTCATCGGGTGATAGAGCGACTGTTATGTTTAGCCCCAGGTACAGGCTAAATGTAGGTAACATCCTTGTCTCTAAACTGGAGAGACATGGATCTGACAAATGCACTACTCAGTGGATAAGGAATCAGCTGAGTGCAACCATCCGAAGAGTCACGGGCAACAGCTCAATGTCCAAGCGGAGACCAGTGACGAGTGGCATTCCTCAAGGACCAGTATTGGGACCACTGCTGTTCAACAACTTTGTCGGTGACATAGACAGTGGGATTGAGTGCACCCTCAGCAAGTTTGCCAATGAAACCAAGCTGTGTGGTGTGGTTGACACGCTGGAGGGAAGGGAGGGTGTCCAGAGGCACCTGGACAGGCTGGAGAGGTGGGCCTGTGCAAACCTGTGAAGTTCAACAAGGCCATGTGCAAGGTCCTGCACCTGGGTCGGGGCAATCCCAAGCACAGATACAGGCTGAGTGAGGAGTGGATCAAAAGCAGCCCTGGGGGGAAGGACTTTGGGGTGTTGGTGGATGAAAAACTGAATATGAGCCAACAGTGTGTGCTCGCAGCCCAGAAAGCCAACTGCATCCTGGGCTGCATCAAGAGAAGTGTGGCCAGCAGGTCAAGGGAGGTGATTCTGTCCCTCTACTCTACTCTGGTGAGACCTCACCTGCAGTGCTGTGTCCAGCTCTGGGGCCTCCAGCACAGGAAAGACATGGACCTACTCGAGCAGGTCCAGAGGAGGACCATGAAGATGATCAAGGGGCTGGAGCACCTCCCCTGTGAGGACAGGCTGATAGAGTTGGGGTTGTTCAGCCTGGAGAAGAGAAGGCTCCAGGGAGAGCTTACAGCAGCTTTCTAATATGTAAAGGGTGCCTTTAAGACAGAGACACCTGTGAACTTTGACAGAGAAGATGGTTAAGGAATTATGCTGGGAGGCGTAAGCGTGTCCATACCAGACTGTCCTCATACTGCAAAGAATCCAGGTTGTCCTAAGAAATCCTTATATATAGGAATTTGGTTTTCCAGAAACCTGTACAAGTCAACAACGCTAAGTTCTGACGGCTCAAGCCTATAATAAGCATTTCCCCTGGTGAAGTAAGAATCATGTTGCATGCATGCTTGCCTTACACATGCCAACAGTCCACTACCTAATTAATCACTGTTAGTGTTGAGTCACACTAAATGATAACTGCTGCCACTCCTAAGGACAATCAGTTAACAGGAATCCAACTGTGTCAGCACATCACTTATTGCCTTTGCTTTTCAGATGACTAATTATTAACATCTATCATTCTCTTCCTCAGTAACATATTCAGGAAGGAATCACAAGGTTCAGTTGAATTCCTGATACCCCGAACCAGTCACCCCAGGAAGACCTATAAACTGCATCTCGGTATCCTGCAGGCATGGTGGTATTACTATTTCCCCTCTTTCTTACAAACACAAATTCATTATTCTTCATGAAAGAAGAGGTAGAGACCTTTCAAAATCTCAATCAAAAACTCTAAAGATTGCTCCAATTATGCAACTACTCTACAGATTTTCTCAGAAATCTCTTTGACTTTTGAGCTCTTTTTTTTTTTTTAATTTTCTCACTTATATATGATTTTACTGAAGATCAGGGATTAAAGGGGTCCTGCTCCTGCATAATTTTCTGTTCAACAAGCTCTTGCCCAAAAAAATCCCCTTGAAATTCAGAACTATTACTTAAAATTCTTAGAAAAATAATATCTTATTGTACTTTCAAATATGCTATCATTTCAGTCAAAATTAAACACAAAAACTAAAATTGTTCCTTTTATTCCTGTTACAGGTGTCTTCACTAAAATACGAACTCTATTTTCCTGTAATAGCAAATGTGCCCAAACTTCAAGTTAGCAACTTTGCAAGCTGACTCACAACCACCGTCGTACATGGTTTTAGCTGCAGCAATCATTTCCAGCAGTGTACCTTTTAACTGCGGTTCTGCCAATGACGGAACGCTTGCCAGAACCAAAAGCTATCTTCAGAGGCTGGACTAACACCAGCCAGCCACCACCGCAGTAACTCACAATAAAGTTTCATCAACTGTAGTACCAACTGCCCACCTAAACTCCAAACAGAGCATTAGTTGTGTGACACAAAGATGCTAACTTCAGAGAACTTCCCCTAACATTTGTGTTCTGTTGCTACACATTGCTCATCTGTGTAGCACTGCTCTTCCCCAGTACTGACGGGTTGTGTCAACACTTTGAGAAGACAGCCCCTCCCCTTATTTTCTCATCACACAGCTCCTGCCAGTTCCATGACGCATTTTCCTATCATTTCAGGATTTCCTCTCACCTTCAGGCAAAGGGCTAGGCCACTACCTAATTTTTCCAAGTGGAAGACCATTTCCTATACGTACGTCACTTCCAAAAGCCAAGTTCACTTCTGATGACACTGATGGTTTCCCCTTCAGAGAGACCCTTTCTGAAGCTAACTCCAGATTACTTATTAATTCCCCTCTACCCCCGCCCCATCCACTCATCTGCAGTGTGTTTGTGGATATTCCTTGTTCACTTTGCCTTTATTGACGTCAACTGGCAGGACAACAGGCAATGTCACACTAAGTCAGATGTCACTGCTGTCCTGTTGGGACGACCTATCTGTCAATGCAACATGACCTTCAGACCAATTTCCAGTCACTTCTAAACACACCAGACAACGTTCTTTTCTGCCACTAAGCACCTCTTTGTGCCTTGTCACTGACTCTTCCAAGACAAACTACTGCTCTTCTACAAATTTTAAACTTCTGCATTTCTTGGGTTTTATTAGTTGCAGTTAAGTTAAAGAACCAGTATGTTCAATCACAAAACTAGTGGTTTAGCTTATAAACAACACGTTTATAGAGTGGCTGGAGAAAGGAGATGTATTGTTTGGGTCATCAGTCCTAGTCCTTCACGACTGCAAGCAACTATGTAATAAGCAACCCCAGAAGGAAACAGAACACCACCTGAACACTTAGCAAACTTTAGACTTTGTCTCAGTGAAAAGCCACAAAAGTCATGATGCATCACAGGCACAGAGAAGACCAGTAGAATGTTTTTCAATAGTTTACTGCTAGTGGTTATCACAAAACACTTAGCAAAAATCTACCTATGCAAGAGATCTGCGTGGGACAGAAAAATTAAAATAATCTTAGAGAATCAAATTCTTCAACAGCACAAGGGCAGCACAGTGAAGGAACAAAACAAAACAAAGAAACCAAGCAGATTAATGGTCCTTAGAGATCATTACAAAAATATGTCTTGTCTCTTAAGATAGAAACTTAATAAACAGTTTACAACAAATAGTCTAGAAAAGGTTAAAAAAAAGGGTGTTTTAATGTACAATACAAAAGTGAGACAAATCTAAATAAATAACCAATAATAAAATAAAAAGCTTATTCTTAAGGCCTTATGTGTAGTGATAAGCACCTACACAGTCAACAAAAAACATTAAGAGCTCACTGTTCCATGACTGACTATAAGAATTTCCTGTTGCCTGTTATTGTCAATACGAAATAATAAAGCTGTCCTTTAAATCAGAAGTTTCTAGGCCATTGACTGTTCAATGTCTTAGTACTCCACATCCTAGCACTTTCTCTAAAGTGAAGGTCAACCACAGCAGCCACAGGGTGGCTGTCTCTACCCAAAGGACAAAGTTTCAGCATTTCCTTGGTGGGGGGGGGGCGCGGGGGAAATCCCAGAGCTGAAGTCCCTCACAATTCATTTGATGAATGCAGTTTGGGAATCAAATTTTTCCATGCCCACTACTGCAAATCAGGCAGAACACCAAAGCAGATGTGTAGCTGTTAAGCAGTTAGTAAAAACAGCATAGTATATTGTCACAGGTTGAACCATTTAACTACCAGGAAGCACTTGTTCAGCTTTATTTTATAGAGTAGCAGACAATACAGAAGAAATCAAACCATGCTGAATCCCATAAAAGACAGTCACTGCAAATTCAGTTAAGTTCTTCCTAGAACTTAATCTACAATGAAGTAACCACTAGAAAGAACAGAAAATCAGCAAGAAAGTAACTATGTAAGTATCTCTGTACTACAGAATTGTTTTCCTATCAAACTATACTAGATTTGCAGTCAAAGGAAAAGAAAGTGAGACCTGTTATGAGAAATTCTAAAAAGTCTTCAGTTTTTTTTCTTTGCAAAACATTGGCAGTAACAAGGTCACAATTTTTCAATGCATACTTATACAGGCTAAATAAGCACCAGCTGCTCATGAACTGTACTGGTGATGGCATTTAGGCCCTTTTATTTTTTGCACAAAAAGAACAACAGGCAAAAGGGTTAATGACCACTTGGTATTTTGACCCCGTTTGGAAACTCATTGACAGAAATCACAAGTCCTTCCTTCAGCAGACTATGACAGCTGGTTTAGCTCTTCCTTTTTATGACAAAACTTTGTCTTTATTCTAGACTCTCATGTAGCTTTCCAAGTGGCAATACAACAGTTACACAATACTGAATTTAGAACAATTACACAAAAAGGCTTTATTCCAGAAAAACAGGAAGTTGTTACATGTATGCAAGAAATAACTATGCTTAAAAATTCAATTTCTGAATCTTCTCAGAAGAAATTCTGCTCTTAATACAAGAAAATATTGATTTGATATACAAAACCCCCAACAAGCATCATAATACACAGTGCCAACATTTATATGCAATGATCTTAGATGTCAAATCAGGTTTTCAAAGCAGTTTATGGGAAACATTGGTTCACCACTTTTGATTGTGTACAGTCTCCCATATAAACTCAACCTTTTAGATCTCTGTCCTTTCAAAATTCATACTTTTAAATCTTTCTTCAAGCACATCAGAACCTTCATCACTGTCTGTACTACTGAAGTTTGTATCAAAATCCAGCTCATCCTCCAATCCACTGCTCTCTTGGCCATTTTTGGTAGTCACACTCTCCGTTCTGTCTTGTCCTTTATTAATCCTGCAGAAAGCAAGAGGATGTTATCACCACTCACTTTTGGAATTTACTTTTCTTTTCAACAAGAATGGGATGGAGGGTAGAACACTCTACCAGGGATGGAAGGGAGGTGGGGAGGAGGAGGAGAGGGACAATAACCTAACGTTACTTTCCCTTTGAATAGAAAAGATATAAAAGACAGTAAAGGAAAGGGAGTCTGTGAAGAAAAAACAATATATACGTGAATAGTTCGACCAACTAAGCAACAGCTAGCCAGTCATCACAAACTAGTAAATTAATACAGGATGCTCAATAAAGAGAGGATTCTAGTAAAAGAACAAAAAACCCCAAAAGCCTGCTAAATATATTGCAGTAACTGTGCTCAATATCAGTCCTTGTTTAGTTTTTCTATTCACTAGTAACTGAATCATCAAACAACAGACAAAATGCAAACAGTCAATTGGATTATGCATATTTTATGGTGCTTTATACTGAAAGCCATCCTGAAGTGTTTTGTTACAAGGAGGATGCAGAGTTTAGCCTTTGGTGTTAAAATAAAGCATCTTAACCGAGTAAGACTTTCTTTTGGCCCAGCCCCAGCAACATCAATAGGCATTTCACCCCCACTTTCAACAGAAGAAATTGAGGGTAATGACTCCTACTGATTCCTGTCAGGATTATTCAGAATATGCATAAAGTACAACAGCTTCTTGGCAGTTTCCAAACAAGCTTTATTAAAAATGGAAGAAACAGTACAGTAGTGAAACCATGTAACCTATGAGCTACTTACGGAATAATTATTTCTTCTTCTTTCCCACATTTAGCACAAACTTCTAGTTTACTGGCACATGGTCGACAAATAATATGGTAAGGATCTTTTACAGTCTTTTGGAGGCACTTCACACTGTGAAGAGAAAGAAAATATGACTAAAAAAATATTTGTAGACACTTACTAAACATTTTGTGTTCAAAGACAATACAGACGTACTCTTCAAAAGTGGAACAACATGTTACAGGCCAGTTTTATATGAAACAATTGATATTTTAACAAGGAGCACTATCAAAATCATTGACCGTCTTCCCTCTTCTTTTAACTTTTTCAGGGAAAATTATTAAAACAAGAACTGAAGAAGAAAGTTAAAATCAAGAATTTTTATATTTAAACTGACAGAAGAAACCCTTCCATTCTTTTCTGCAGGTAGTTTTACTTTAAAAGCTACATAGCTTCTTCTTTTAATTATAAAATAAAGCTAGAATATGGTATAAAAAGGTGCATGCATTTTACAAACAAAAAGCTTTCAATTCAAACTCATGGACTTCTCAGAGTATGGACTTCCCAGTGCTGGACTTTGCTTTCGATGAACACAAGCCTGCATGGAACTGTATTCTGAACAAATCCAATCTAATAATGTAGAGATTTTTGGCAATTACTTTTCAAGATATGACAAAACTTTGTAATTAAATAATTTCTAAAATGCTATGTCTTAACATTCAGCTGACATTCGTAAAGCCTTGTATTTTTGGAGAATGGAACCCAGAACTATATATCCTATGTAATGTGGCTGTCCTAAAAATCACTCTTTCTTGGCTCCTCAGGCACTCAAAAGTCTGTCAGGAAAGATTTAGCATACAGTTCTGAACAGTGGATTTACAGACTTGGCTAGTCCAGGCTGAACAACAATATCAAAGTGTTTTTGCATACCTTATAAGGAGAGATGTGCTTACTAGCATCTAGAGAAACAGATTTTTTACTTGCTTTCTCAAATCCCATTCTTAAACACTATCACGTTCTCCCTACTATATTCCATCTAGGCTCTGCTGAGCTTCCACTATTAAGATGCACGTATCCAATTCCTTAAGAAGCTATAAAATCACAAGAATTGCTGTAGGACATATGTGACAAAAGCAAAGACTGAACTGCCTAGTGTTTCTGGTCTTCCCTCCCCTCCAGGAAAAACCTACAGTTAGATGTCCCTGTAAATACCTACTTAGTCTGGTGGCGTTTTTTTTCCTTTTTCTATGCTCAGTTTCATTAGTATTAAAAAAAGTCTATGGCTCTTCTCACCCATATCACACCAGAGACACTATCAATGTAAGGTGGATAGGCTTTTTTAAAAAAAAAAAAAGTTTAATTTGTAATAATTAAATACTTGAAATAAAAGTAAAGTAGGGTTAACTTCTCATTGTACTAACAAACATAACTTTGAAGATGTTAAAAATCTAAAAATAAGTTGAGGTACTGCTTCTGAGAAGTCCTCCATTCCCATCATCTGTGATGTGAAGAATCCATTTTTTTTCCATATAACCACATTCTTAATGTCTATAATGTGTTTACTTCACCTAGAAGCTTCACCCATTGAAAATCTTCATAGCCTTGTCCTTTCAGAACAGTGGCCCACTCAGCCATTGTACTGCTGTAGGCTGGGCTAGAAACCACCACCTGGTAGAGGTAGAATGCTCTGCAGCCCAATTTACTTGTTCAGAAATATGATGGAAAACATCACATATTCTGTCAAAAGCAGCTGTCATATAATGCCACTTTTTCTATTTCCAATGCTTCTCTGATTTACATGGTTTTTTGCCTGCTTTTTTTCCTTTGGTATAGGCAGAGAGAAGAGGCAAAAGAACCATATCCACCACCACATGATTTGTTACAGCTCATTACTTTTAAACACGATGCACATAGTCATTTGAGAAAAAGCTAAAAAAAAGACAAAACCCAACTCTATCCATGGTGAATAGAACCCAGCATGTTTACTTTGAGAACCAGTCAGACTTCTACCTAATCAAAATTATTTTTTTTTACATGCAAGGATGAAATAATTCACTAAAACCAAAATATTTGTTGCATATTGTTTCATATTAAAAAGTAAAACTTCTCGCAAGTGGGGGATATAGTACGAACACACATTCCTTCCCTTTGAACCTACTGAAAATCAAAATAAAATACACCATCATTCAGGGAACTGCACACATACATTTACAGAACCTCTTCAAGCAGTTCATAAGTATTTCAGAACTGTGTAACTCAGAACAACACACAAACACAGAGCAAACTACTACTACTACTGTGACAAAGCTGGCTATATCTTACACCACAGCCCAGCTGCAGTTTCTTTGAGTTGAAAATGTCACTGTTGAAACACTGGCTGTGTCTGCAGCCACAGAGGTAAGGACCTCTGCAGCTGAACAAGTAAGAAGGAAGCAAAGAGTATCCACTTCAGAAAATTAACCTATCACGAACCTACAAATTATTTTAAGATATTTATCACCTTTGTTAAGTACTTACCAAAAAACCATACAATACAGAACTGTATGCAAACATTGCTAAACATTTAATATTTAGGATTATAGAAAAAGAGAGAACATGCTAAGAAGCAATTAAATGCATGTATTGCAAGCACTTTGTAGGAACCGAGGCCTCAGTAATGCTGAGAACAGTGTTGCTGATGAGTTTCGATATGACACAAAATTAAAGCCTTCCTCTCCTCACTTCTCTACTAGTCTTTGCCAACCACAAAAGTTAAGAGATGTGCAGATTCCCCTAGCACTGACTTGCAACGAGGCCTTAGAAAATTGTGTTACAACTGGTTCAGGTTTGTCATTTTGCTCAGGAGGACACACTGATGGTTTTGTAAACTTACAGGTCCACAGTTCAAGCATTTTAACAGAAAAGAGGGAAGCACAGTTGCTTTTCCACTGTGTTTTCTTTTCAAAAGTTTAAGATAAAAGGCTAATGAATTAGAAAATTAACACTGCATATATATCGTCATTGCAGAGTCCAAATTTGAAGAATTGTCATATAGTAGCAGCCACTACTTGTGAGTTTCCAAAACTGGAATATTTTCCAGTAAGTTCACAAACCACACTATCAGTGATGAACACAAAGTATCTTAACTCACCATTTTTTAGGTTTTGATAGTAGTTTATACTTGCTGAATTTCACCCGCCACTCCAAGATACCTTTGCAACGCTGACACACTCCATCATGAAGTTTAGCATTTATTTTCTGAATAAATAGAAAAAAATAAGACTACATTGAAGATTTCCTACTTTTGTAAGTATAATCTTGCCTAGAACGCGTTTCCACCCATCATGTGATTAAAACAGAATTTAGAAAGATGTTTATTTGATAGTAACGTAAGTATCTCAAGGTAGTCTTCATCTTTATTATTATTACCATAATTTAAATATTGTTAATAGTAGTACTTATTACTCCTTGATAATAGATTATTATAGGTATTTTATTATTATTTTTTAATATCTAAAAATTTTACAAAAGAGATTTGAGTAGAAATCAGCCCTGAAATACACAGTTTTTATCCAAAGAAGACAACTCACAAGACTTAACACTTCACTTATTATTGCTCAAGATACCATTATACACATACTTTAAGTAAGTAGCCTCAGAACTTTTTCACAGATCACAATAAGGTAGAATACAGATATTAATTGCTGTCAAATCACTCAATGTCTCTTTCATCATAAACTTCCTTTATGAAAAAATAATACATTTTTGCTCTCAGGTATCTATGACAAAATCCTCAAAATGGTCATTTAAACTATGGTATATTTTCAAGACAATGCAGTTTACCTTAAGTTCTTGTATGTATTGTGTTTAGTTTGCTCAGGAAAACAAAATATCAACTGGCCAGTACTGTCAGCACAAGAGAAGTTATTCCGAGTTGGGAAGTAGTAAAAACCCACACTGTTACATTAAATAACAAACAACATACACTCATACTTTTAACCTACTTTTATTCCTTCTCTACCTAAAAATGCCAGCAGTAACTTCATCTATCATATGGTTGTGTGTATTCATTCAGAACTTTAAAAACAGAAATTTCACAATTAAAAAAAAAATGCACATAGCCAAAGAAATTCTATTGTGCTTTTTAAAAGACAAATTAAAAATGGCTACCATACTAAATTACATTATTAACATTTAGACCATATATGGTCTAAAACACACCTATTTCTTAGAATACCTAAAGGTTCATTGGAACAGATTCTGCATTAATCGGGATTGGAGTTTATGTAATTCTTTTACAAGTAAATTGAAAAGTTATTCTACAGATACAGTAGCTTCTGAAGTAATTTCCTTGTTTTATGAGTCACAAGATCTTACGACTCCACAAAGTTCTACTTCAAGACACTAGACAAAAGAACAAGCCTAGCTTTAAAAATACAGTATCTTATTCTATTGCAAAAAATGTATGCGGCAGAGGAAATGCTACTTACAAGTGAGACTATACCATGGGACTTGTCTTCCACTGTTCCCGTTTTTACTCAACTTCAACCATTCTATATAAGTTCTGCCATAGTATGGTTTAACTGAAGGTGTGGTGCTTTTTGGCTCATTCAGTTAAAAAACAATTTTTTTTTTCAAATGATTGAACACAGACTTCACATGTTAAAAAAAGAACGAAAGAAAAGAGGTTTCGCAGAATGCTGGAGTATTGAATACAGAAAGCTGTGGTTCTGATGTCAGCCATGCATTATGAATTAAATTTTCCAAGAAACACATGCATTTGGCTAATGTGGAAACTTTCTGAGAGAAGAGAATCATTGGCAAGTCCTCAGCAGATATCTGTTAAAGGGCTGGCAATTCAAATTGCTGTCAGCACCAACTGTGTTCATTCTTCCAAAATTCACACAATTTGAAGATAAGCTTTCTTTTCAGTGCCTGACTAGCACAAAGAAAGGCTCAAGTAGCATAGCCTGAATAAGCTTCTAATAACCTACAAATTAGCCTGAACTTCACAGTTCTCCCTCTCATGCTCCTAACTTCCATTAATTAGTAATGCAGGAGGGGAGAAAGACACAAACACTGCAATTTGTATTCCCAGGTGTTCTTTACTGTGATCAACTATTTCTAGTACTGTGAAGCCAGGACCCAATAAACGTCAGAAGATTGCAACAGTTTAAGCTGAGGACAGCTGGTTGCCTTTCCAAAGGGAGTTAGCTTCCTTGCTGAAAACTACCTCGTTTCCAATAATACGTCCTGACATCACGGCTGGCGGCTGGGGATGGGAGCCCTGTTACTAAGTGATGCAGGGACAGGCTCAGCAGCACGTAATGCCCTTGGAATGCAAGAGGCCAGGCTCAGGACTGCAAGTGGCATAAACAGTGCAGAATAAAATAGGAACTACTTTCACCTCTCATCTGAAGGAAATCCGAAGTTTGTCAGACAGGCAGCCTATGACAAATTCTGCTAAACATTTGCTATGGAACAAGGAAATACGCATAATTAGTGTTAATGGAGCTTTATAAAGCTCTTCCCCCTCCCAATATGGTTATTATCTGGCTCCAGAATACACAACAATCATACACTGGTGAAATTACTTTTTATTTGGGGGTTTTGTTTTTGTTTTTGTTTTTTATCAGACAAACTAAAATGCAGGCCATCCACGAATTCCAAAGATGCCTTTTTGTGTTACTCATAGTATAGATCTTTGCATGAAAATGCCACCTCATAGCAAGGCTGAGAGACTAGTCATGTGGCATAAAGACTATATTACTTCACTTTTGCTTCGAACACTTTGCATCTAATCTGGTGCCCTCAATCCAAAGATTAGTCCTCCCTCTATATTAACACATTGCTTCACCACTGAAAAAGGTCTTTATAAGGTAACTAACACACAAGAAGCTCTGAAGTAAAATAGAGTTAATGCAATTCAACTGCACAGCAACAATCACATTACGCACACAAAGGCAATGAATCTCCATCGGAGCTGGTCTGTGTATTTACTTCCACACAGTCACATCTGAACCGTTCCGTTTTCTTGGTATGATCAGCAACACTTCAAATACCCAGTGCAAAGGTAAAGGTTAAGAACATCAACCAAAATGCTGCCTAAGAGTCTTTTGACACTAAATTAGATTGTAGCTACGAAGATCACATTTATATATCACTTAAGATCCTGATCCGGGCATAAAGATGCTTGGAGTTTTCAAACTAGTCACCTGTACAACCACAAATCTTATACAGCAACTCAAAGAAACCACATGGTATCTGCTCAGAAGGTAACAACTGGAAGAAAGATGGCAGCTTTTAAGTTCTAATTTCCTCCTAACAGGCACACATACAGCAGTCCCTTCCCCCCCTTCAGCAATTTCCTGTATTTTTGACTCACCGTCGGCACCTCAAGTATGGGGTGGTGTAGTTAATCATTGGCTCAGCACATCTGAGTATGAGAGCAACTATGACTCTACAATCCTTCTAACCAGGCTATTGACTTAGAAAGTCGATAGAGAATGACAGATTGATTTCAAGCAAGCAAGCAGGGAGATTTACAGAGTTTAACCTTGACTGGTGTTTGCCTTCTAAGTTTATTTGGCTCAGAAAAAATGCCTGATATTTAAATGTTATTAGTACTGAAACAAATAGATAATTTACTGTGTTTTTCTACACTAAATTCAACGTTTCCTTTGACCCCCCAAACAATATTGTAACACTTTCAAAAGCAACACAGGCTTGAAGAATCCAAGAAAGCTGCCCCTAATTGAAGATTTGGACAAGCTATTTTTTCAGATTTTTGAAATTACCAAAGAACACACGACAGTCAGTTCTCCTAACAAACCGGATGGGAATCTTTCCCGGTATCTCAGTTCCCAGGCAGACTGGAGAATTCATTAGTTAAATCAAAGAAACCACCCTGCTGCTTACTTTTCCTATTAATATCCACTTTTTAATGTATTTTGTAAATTGTTTAAACTTTCATGTATTTGTGTTTTCTTCCTTTTGCCCATTTAATAGCTTGTTTTCCTTTAAGGGTACAAAAAACCAACAACCCACACAAAGACCTGAACAACGTCTGTCAACTTCATTTTTCCCTTCCAACTTTTCTACTGAGCTTTTATGCAAGTAGTTAGCTCTCAAACACAAAGATGTGGTAGTGCTTACAGTCTGAAATGAATTTCTTGGTGTGAGAACTACTCTGGTATGTTACATTCTGTTTCTGTCACAGCAGTTCTGGGGTTTTTTTACGCTCATTTCCCTGGTTTAGTTAATAGCTCTTTCCTATTTTCTTTTGCTATGCTTCCCTCCAAGGACAAGTGCAACTCATTCAGTGTTTACAGTATGTCTATATAATGGCCAAAGAAATTATAGTTACGCAATAAAGACATACATAAATAGTTTTAAAGTACACAGTCACGAAATATTCCCTGTGCATATTATATACACACTGTCAGGTCAACTGCATTAACAAAAGAGCATCCTCTGTATGCTCACGTAATCCAATATTAAATCACTTAACAACCTGCCAAAAGCAGTTCAGAATGTATTAAACACATGCACCTACACCTACTAACTTGGTACAAAAAATAATCCCTAGCTTAAGCTAGCATTAAAGCACTAACAAGCAAGATGTAATAATGGGGTTTCAAGGAAGCCTCGCTGTCTGCTTGGAAGCGTCTAGTTATGTGTGCATCTATGGGTACTTTGATTTACCCTATTGAAAGCAGACTCCTACTACTGAGCACACATCAGTGGACTATTCTGCTGTAAATTAATGCAATGTCAATGCCATGTATAAAATCTCTCCTCAGAAGCCCAGGTTAATACTGCATCAATCCACAAGGGTGTATGCAGCACTTCTGAATAACTACACTACTAAGAAAAACAAAACTCCATAGGATCTCCAGCACATAACTACAAAGCAGTTAGAGTAGATCAGCACAGACCAACAGATGTGAAACTGTGATATGAGACACCAGCTTTTCAGGGTTCTAATACACATTTCACAGGCTGAAATCAAGCCCCCGCAAAAGCTTCACTTGCTCACATATTTTATCAGTATTGCTTCAAATTCCATTTTCTACACAGATATTTTCTCATCTCTTTCTAAAGAGAAGTATATTTAACCAAAGCCTTAAAGCCTTCCTTATATCCATACTAGTTACATATGGATGGCTATACAGCTAGCATTTAAGGCCCTTTTGTGTTTCATTGCTTTGGAATTCAAAACACATAAAATCAAAAGCTTAAGTCCAGTTCCAAATGGC